CTGGAATTTTTCCCGCAGGTGGGGGGGGGGGCTCAGAAAAGAAACCGTTGAGCATCCTACACTAAGCGGGTCGTCCCTGCCCTGAGTGGTGCACGACCCCACGGTGCGCCGAAGGGAGCGCCGGCCCAGTGGGCGGGGCACCACCCGTTGCCTATTAACGTTACGCCAAGGTTAGCAGTGACGACGGGCTCATGCCATGACCTGGGCCACCGCTCCCTCGCGCGCCCCCCCCCCCCCCCCCGGGGTCCCATTGCTCTCTGCAGAGCCCCCCCAGACCGGAGTGTGTCCTGAGCGCCCTTCTCGGGCCTGGCCCCACCTGGCTCTGATCTTGGCATGGGTCCCCTTGGTGCCGCCGTAACACACATAATAGCCTTATTGGCCACCTCAGCATTTGAGCTGGGTGATGCACCTGCCCCTCCCCCCCCATACCAAGCAATTGCCCGCAGGTAAAAAGGAAAACAACTGTCAGCGCGTACGCTCAAGGGAGGCCGGTCAGACTGGCCACAGTCCTGGTAGCAGAGGTGTAATAAATAGCTGCAAAGGCTCAGGAAAATGCATGTGTGCTTTATTCATGTACATGTTTGAATAATGATGCTTGCAGAAGTTTAGTTAAGTACAGCGTATAGCCCCATAGTATACATTAAATCAGCCATTCGAACCCCCTCGCCCCATGTGCACCCCTACACATATCATCTCTAGCGCCTGCCATCAGTGTTCCCTGGAAGTGGTGTGCTTGGGCACCCGAGAGAGTCAAGGGCTGCCTCTTGATTAGTAGCATACCCACAGCTGGCAGCATGTGTGTCTACTCGTGGTGCACATCTGCACATGTCTCAGTGCAGGTAACAAAATGTAGTCCGCACATGTATGGAAAAAATGACAGGGAACACTGCCTGCCCGCACTTGTTTTATTGCAGAAATTATGCCTTCCTGTGAAAACACCTTCCCCACCAGTAGCTTTGTTGGTTTGGAGATGATGCAGCTGGCCTGACATGAGCTGTAAGGAAGTCCCATGCCACTCAGGAACTGGTGCGGCACATCAGAAAATACAATTCGGAGACGCCACAGAATGTCGCTTGACTAAAAAAAGTACGCAGCTTTGTGCTTATGAAAGTCTGGGGGGGTACGTATGAGTCCGTCACCATGCCTCAGTCCCGTCTAGCGTAAGCACATAGGCAACGGGCTCTGGTGGCTAGAGTGGGCTGAAAGATTAACATAGCAAAATTAGTAAACGCAAACTTTTAAACATAGATGGGGGGGTTTTGGACCATGACAAAAAGGGCAGCTTTTTGTCTCTCTGCCCGCCCCCCCATTGTTTTTTCATCCTATTTGCTATTGGCTTTGCGAACAGTTTAAAAAGACAGTGCCAACGTTGACATTTTTAATGCATTTTTTGACCAATTTCAAATGCTGATGGGAAAAAATAATCCTGGTTTTTTGATCAGCGCTAAAGCTCTGTCTTGGCGATAGTTCTCCCTTCGAGCCTGTTGGCCCGTCCCTGGTCATGCAAAAGGCTTGTCTTGCTATACTCTGATTGCTTCTGAACACGGCTCATGGATATCCCAGGGTAAATGCACTCGGCTGATGCTCCTGCACCTCTCTTGAAGAGCAGCTGCAGCCGGGCTAGCAGCGTTGAATTTTTAAATTGCATGAAAAACCCCCCAGCTGTAGAGGTGTGTGATACCTACTGGGATCCTGGCCAGATGTTGACTGACTCCATCCAGTGTAGCCAACCAAAAACCCAATTGTTTGTTCATTTCATCCAGGCATCACATTCCTCCATCACTGGGACGCCTTTTGAAGGCTAACCCATCCCGTACTAGCCAGAATTTTCAAGCTGGGAAGAAAATTAAGGTGACCCTTTTGCCTCCTTTGAACTGTGTTATGCTTGCAGCGCTTCCAAAGGCAGCATAGGGAAAACAAATAAATAGGCGGCTTACACAAACGACGGACGTTTTGGCCGCATATCTAAGTCCTGACAAGTGACAGCTGATTTTTACAGCCTTGGTTTCAACCGTACTAGCCAGAATTTTCAAGCTGGGAAGAAAATTAAGGTGACCCTTTTGCCTCCTTTGAACTGTGTTATGCTTGCAGCGCTTCCAAAGGCAGCATAGGGAAAACAAATAAATAGGCGGCTTACACAAACGACGGACGTTTTGGCCGCATATCTAAGTCCTGACAAGTGACAGCTGATTTTTACAGCCTTGGTTTCAAGGA